TTCTTGGTCATCATTCTTAAAGGTATTTATTTATTTATATGCTTTTTATATGCATTCACTTACAGTATAAATATTAGGTTTTATATAGCAAAAATGTACAAAGGCGGACTTATCCCTTAAAGGGATTTCTTTCAGTAAACCTTGAGAACTCGAAATGAGAAATTGTCTATAGGGTTTGTATATACAACATAACATATATATAAAATTTCATGTTTTCATGTTAAGTATAAACTAAACTTCTCTTGACTTACAATCCTATTTTTGTGTTTTGAGTCAAGGTAGTAACGCTTTTGTGCAGTGATGCTTCCATCTGCATAATAGATTGAATCAACCCACATCCACCCACTTCTGAGTTTCTTTTCACGCCTCTTTTAATGATCTTTTGATAACCTAATCTATTGCTACTCTGCTCCTCTATGTCGTCTGACATTTTGCATGGTAACCTACTAACTTTTCTCTGTACCTTCCTTGATCACCACACCGTAGTACCACACAACCGTTACCATTTCTGGATGTTAGATTTTCATCTATAGAAAAACCACGACATTATTACGCGGTGTCTTCATGGTCATTTTCCTTCCAGGGCAAGTATTTTATTCATACTTCGATTCGCTGACCAATGTAATCGACCTTAGTTCCACCTCGGATCTCGATATTTGGTACGTGACACAACAGTAAGGTTGGTATGGATATCAAGCATGGCGCACTCTACTCGTATAATTTTTTTTTTATATTGCACGAGTCTACGTTGAAATTTTTTTAATGGGTAATAATGGAATGGTAACTCCACCTGCGCTGCTTTTTTTCTTTTTTTTTTTTGGACTTTGTTTTCTGTCGCTATAATTTTTGCGACATCCTTCTATTCTGTATTATCGATATATCTGTATTTTTTATATATATAAATTTATACATATATATAAAGTTGTAAACTGTGTGTATATACGATTGTAAACTGTATATATAACTGTGTATAAAACTTTATCATATTCAATATTTAGTCCACTATTCTTCCAAGATGGTTTCCAGGGGGAATCGCTAGAGGTCGATCTGATAGGGTATAAGACAAAAAGGCTCTTAGACCTCATTACTAACAATCCCTTTCTTCCCTCCATACCTTAGTTGAATATAGACACTACACATTTATTAAATACCTCCGTCTTTAGGAATTACAATATTTTTGATCTGAAAACAAAATTTTGAGGTTCCCGTTATAGAAAATATTGTCATCACAGAGTACTACGTTTTTATTAAATAAATTTCACACTAAAATTAGTTTAAAATTAAAATGATGATTGAATTAAATAGACAATGTAATTGTTACTAAATTAATTTTTGCGCTCAAATTCACCATTTCTTAATTTTTTATCCGAATCGGTTTAGTGTAGTTAAGCCATGAAAATGTGTATACAAGCAGACAGATACACTTATAAAATGTTTACGATTACAAACAAGTATCATTTTAGATGCATTATTTTCGGTACTGTATTATTATGAGCCATTGAACCATTTCCTCCGATTCTTTGGCCCTCCCACTCGGTTGGAGGACGATTACCTCGTTTGCAAGGTCGTTGCTCTGCACTCTCCAGTCCCGCTTATATAGGGTTACCGCTCGAAACTTAAAATTATGACAGGAAGTTCGCGTTACCGTGATACGGTCATCATAATGAATATTCTATTGTAAATCTTGCTAAAGTTGACGACTCAGAGATTCCAAGTGTCAAAGACATCAACAGAGGGTAATCTCTATTAATGCAGACGTTGCCCTATACGAGTAACAGAGTATAAGTCTTATTCATTTTAATACACATGTACTTGTTATGGACTATAGAATATGCATATTTAAAGCAAGTAGGCCGGGATTATTTATAAATTCAATTTTTAATAAATTTAATAAATTCAATAGCTTATTTAATTTATTGTAATGGATAAATATCATCCAGATATACTTGTACTATTATATATTACTCTAATAGCTCGTCTTATTAGATTTTACATACATTACTGCTAGCTCTCTATACAGATGAATTTTCATGATAGTACGTCTTCTGCGTGGTAATATGGACTGTAACTGAATTTAGGTAGTTATTAAAATATTATGTAAGTCAAAATTGATATTTTTAAATGTCCCAAGTGTCTCAATTCATTTGTGATTGGAGTAACATTCTTGATGGATAATGTTTTACCGAACGGTGTCGTTTTTTGGCATTTTTGGCGACAGATACCTGATAATGCGCATAATACAACGCTAACACAACGTGTAAAAAATACTATATTTTTAAATATATATGTTAGATTTTAATGTACATATCTATGGATCTAAGTTTGTAAAAGAAACTTGTTGCCTTAAATAAACAAAACGTAGGTATATATATACCTAAAAAAAATCAAAGTTTGTATTTCTTGGACTGAAGATAACCCTACGCTTGAGCAAGGACGGATGAAGGTGTTTAGTTACGGTACGACATGTGCCACCTTTTATCGTTTTCTCTACATACAGACGACATTGATATTAATGTTTTTTACTAATGTTATAATAGATAAAAAATTCCGATTTATACTCGTGACATGTTGCCGTATAATTCTGATCTCATAAAAACAGCATTTATTTAAGTTCGAGGTACATTTATTTAGGTGCTACTTAATACAAATGCGTTAACTCGCTTGAAATTCTAAGTTTTTTTTTAAACGGTATTGTAATCCCACGTGCAGTTTACGCTGATGAAGTAACAACAAAGGATCGTAGGTGACGTTTAAATCAAACCAGAGGGTTTACTATTAAATGAAATTCCGAAATTTCGAACTCAATTTCGTGTTTTCGTTCATACCGAAATCGACCCAGTATCTAAATGGAGCTTAACATTTCGTTCATCATAAATACATCATAAACCATAAAAGTTCAAAGGCACGATATTTTGTCATTTTTTATATTTTTAAACGCTACGTATAATGTAATTTTAACATCAAAATTTTATTTCGTTCGGCGCCGAAATTTCGTAAAATATTTCATGGTAGCCCCTCAGTTAACCCATCGTAATGAAATCACTAAGAATTACATTCGTTCATAATATTGTAGATTTCAGTTAGACTGGCGTGAACTTTAACCTGGCAAGATATAAAAATTCTAGGATTGACTTGGAGTCAGTGTTAAAACATTGAGGTCAATGAGCAGAGAAATGATCAAGCAGATATGTTTAACAATCATAGTCTGTAGTAACGGAATGATATCTAAATATGAAATTTAATTTATTAAAGCAAAACATGCACCAATAAATGTAATGAACAGCGTAGATTAAATGAGTAACAAGAGAATGCTTGGCAATAAGACCGCCTTTTGTTCGCTATACTTATAGAAAATTCTTCAACAAGTCCTGCAATATTGGTGCAATGAAGTGTTAAATAAATAAATAAATAAATAAATTCTTATTCACACATCAAAATATTATATATAGTAATATTAACAAAAAGGTCACAAAATCGACCCCATATTAGGAATAGTTAAGGGTTACCATTAACTATCCCTAAAGGTTGCCGATGATATCCCAGACGTCAGATTGCAGGAAATTAAAATGCCTCTCAAACAGTTTAAAAACGGCAAGGCACCGGGGCAGGACAGAAATTACAACAGAGCTTCTGAGAGTGGGTTGAAAACCGGTACTTATAGTCCTTCAGAGAAAAACCGACAATCGATAGAAAAGAAAGCTTCTCGAGTAGCGACCATGTACGGGCAAATGCAGTGTAGTATGACCACGCACTAGATAGTGACGACCTCAAATACATTGCAGGGAGTTAGTGGATGCAATTGGTTCAAGACTATTATTTATGTCAGTATATGGGGGAGGCCTATGTTCAGCAATGGACGAATAATGGCTGAGATGATGATGATGATGGGTTACCATGAAATTATCATTTAAGTTTGGTTAGCTTCGGTTCATATTTATTTCTTTTAAGTTTCTCATCAAGCACGTCTCCTAATGATTTTGGTGAAAGTTATTGCATCATCATACATATAAATACTAAGCACAAATTGCATTCAATTCTCTGTTACATGATGTTTTGTAATTGTTATGACTACTTGTGATATTTCTTACAGTCACTCTTCTCCGCTGTGTTTGTCCAAGAATATAACGGAGCAAGATAATATATTTTGGACCATTCATACTATAGCTTGTTCCAATAGAAGGTAATAAAAATGTAAACAAAGAAATAGTTGACCCGGTCATAGGAATTTTTAATGATGTCCAATGGTATTGATTAATTACTAATTTTATTTAAAGAGTGTTTCTGTAATAACGTCAACGAAGTTTTGTTTTTTTTTTTTTATTATAAAATTAACGTTGTAGAATATGTAGAGCGTTATGTTTTACCGTCATTGGGCATACAAATGTTATTATTACACGATTACACGATGTCCCTTAAATTGTCATTTTTAATAATAATAAATACCGTAATAAAAAAAAATATGTCAATTTAATTTACTACAATCAATCATAAAACTTAAACATAATCAACAAAATACTTAATAATCTATTTAATTTTTTTTTTAATCTTTAAAATTATCAGTCATGTATTTGTTAATGGTATAATAGGCTTTATGCAATAACAATTTCTTTAATTCTTTTTTTAATATATCTATATGATTTAAATCTTTTATACATTGTGGCAATTTATAATAAATTTTTAAACACATACAGAATATACTATTATTGTATAGGGTAGTTTTACATTTTGCAATTTTTGAAATGTTAGTTTTTATTAATATTACTGCTTCATAGATATTAAAATATTCATATTTGTGCACATTTTTTTATAGAGAACATGGGGCAAAATATAAAATAGTAATGTTAGTATTCATAATTACGTAATTCAATGTATATTTTTTGTTTTAGAATTTGATTTCTATATTACGATAATAGATGGCGTTTTGTAGTGATATTATTTACACCGCAATGGTAAAATTATCTGCTTTTCTAATATAACCTCAACTTTAAAAAAGCGAATTCATATATACCTGGGGTAGACGAGGCTGTAATCAATAAGGCAGCTTCTCCAAGGTGAGACCCTTCCGTTGCGAATGGGTTGACCCTTGCGATTACCCCTAATGTGGGTAAATCGGACGCCTAATTTTTGGTAGTGAGAACTGCGTACACGCTGTTCTCATAATAACATTGCTTTAAATAACTTTTTAAAAACTGCTTAACAACTGTACTTTCAAGTGTTTATTTTTTTCTGTTTAAGATTTCACACTGACTGAAGGATTGCTTAATTTGTATATTTATTTTCCAAACATTCATAATTATGGGATTAGGTTTTTTTTTTTAAATAAACCTAGTAAAAAAAAAAGAATAAATTTGAAAGCATAATAAAAACAGTTACAATAAATATTCACTTACGTTCACTATTAAGTGTTTTAAATTTTAAATACACATTCCATTATATAAAGATAATAATTACGCAAGTACTATACATGCATTTATATTTCCGCAATTAAATTAATAAATAGGTATTTAGGTAATAAACTATATTAAATATTTTTTTTGTAACTATGATAAATATAGAATAAAAAAATATTTCAAAACAATAGCTACTATTTATACTTTATACACCTGCCTACATAAATTAGCAATAAACGGAGTGATTCAACTTTTGCATAAACATGTTTTTATTCTGTAACTTAATTTTGCGTTTATATTTGATGGGTTAATTCCACTGTCCAGTAGAAAAGTTGTGGGCCAACACTTTCGCGCCTTTCACTTGTAGCGTAGGCGCACCTATCGACCTAAACAAACGGACGCCCAGACAATAGAAAAGTATATTACGACACCAGCGTAATGACAAAGACTTTTAAGTATATCTGTTACAATACACACTATTCTTTAAATTCGTATTGTGTGTAATTAGAAAATAATTGCATGTAAACAAAACAATGATAAATTGCCGCGGCTTTGACAGAGGAGTATGTTTAAATAATGTCAGGCACGTTTTATCAAGTAATTATGTATATTTACGATAATAACTTCATTTTGTGTATTGGAATTTATTTGGTATCTATTATTATCCGACTTAAAAGAAAGAACAATTCGCAAAGTTTACAATGCCAATATTCTGTGATATCCATAGTGTATATCTATTGTACACTTTTCTAGATGGGCCATGTTTGTCATTCTTTGTGCAATTCATTTCATGTGTAGATAGATAGTTACTATTTTTTGTTTTATATATATATCTCACATCATATCATCCTTTAAATATCCACTGCAAAACTTAAGCTTTCCCCAGAAGGGAAGTTTTGACAGTAAGTAGTTGCCACGCTTGGCACGCGAATTGGCAATCGCAGTTAGACTTTTAGTGACGTTTTAAGAAGGACGCTGCTGCCCATCGCTTTACCATAAAGTTCCCTAAGTTACCTCTTATGACGCCTACGAGAAAGGAAGGAGAGGGCTATTCTATGCCAGGACCACACGGCGGATGTATGTATCTCATGATCATCACTAATTGAGAACCATTTCTGATGGTTTATTTATTTAATTATTCATTAGTACAAATATGTGTACATGGTGGACTTAATGCTAAAAGCATTCTCTCCCAGTTCTGTTTTAATCGAAGGGCTTTACTCCTGTGTCGATCGCATGTAACTTTGTCTAGGTTGAAATTAGTTTGCTTTATTAAAATATCTGAAATCTGAATATGTTATATCTTTAGCTACTTATATAAATTATGTTATATTGTTCTAATTGTATTAGTAAATTTTTACCAACTTATTAATCCAATTTTAATCTAATTATATCTATACTTTAATACTTACAGCTGAAATGTAATTTACTTTCACTATAATTTCTCTCTGTGAAATAAATAATGATAACATTTCATTTAGCTACAATCACAGTTAATATAATATGAAACTTTACGTGTTAGTGGTCACGGTCAGTTAACACGACGCGTTAATTCACGGATTGGGCAATTGAACAATGATTACATGTTCGCTTTAAAAGGCAGATTAAAAGGTTGCTTTATGGAAAAAAAATCGATAATATATACTTTTTAAGTTTACATTTTTAATCTCATTACCACTATTGAAATTGTAAAAAAAATATTAATCTAAAGGCTTATCAAAATGTTTAGATGTATTCTCATGTCCCCGAGGGACAAAAAACCCTAATATTTTTTTTATACACAGATAGCTTATATCTTAAGGTAACACAGAATATATTTTTTTTTTATATTAATTTACGTGGACAGCAGCGGTATTAATAGTAATAGGTATAAATGTTTCAATAATGTCAAATTTCTTTGACAATAACTTATAGTTAATGTACCTATAATTCCGTCAGTATAAAAACCTATCTACGCCCATTAAACCTATCTTGACATATTTACATAGCCATAAATTATGTAATATTATCTATAGAAATATGTAAATGTAAATTATAATATCGAAAGCTATATTAATATATATATCTGTCAATACTTTTATTTACATTTAAAACGTGTCGTTTAAGAAACAAAAACAAGTATTATCATAGTCACTTTTATCTATATGGTTTTCTAAAATGCAATGAATCTTACAGGTTTTAAAGACTCCAACATTACTTTAGCATAAAACTGATAATTGATAAACTTGAAAAGCCAGTATAGCGGCTTCTACTAGAGTTGAATGCACTTAGACACACTCAAATAGGACGTTTATCTTTAGACGGCTAACCAACAATCCTGTCATTATTTGGTTTTATTTTTCCAACTACATCAATAGAAAATATTTAAAAAAAAACACACAGTTCACAGCTAAGATGACACTTGAAGTTGTACAAAAAATTGTATTATAACTCTAATATGTATACCATATTCTAGACTAACACATAGAATGCCGTTTATTTTAATCCTAAGACACGATATATCTATTTATTTATTTCTTATTGCATTCCATAATATAATTAGTAGATAACATTTTAACTTCAATTATGAACCCTATTGGGCACAGCAAGTAGGAGAGAGGAGGACAACACTTGTTTTCACTTTAGATATAGTCTAAGAATCTGTTACAATATTATCCAGTTATTGAAATTGTATCACGATGGGTACGTATTTTCTTATTACTATTATTATTCATTATATAATTATTAATTTATAATTATTTAATATCTAGTATTTTATCATAAAATATCCACAGAAAAATGTATTTAATGTTCTGATTAGGTATTTAATTCAGTATTTACAAACAGAATTGTGTTCAGAAAAAATTGGTTCAGAATTGGCGAAGTATTCGAATAACATAGTCACAAAAAATCAGACTCTAAGACTTCTCTATTTTTTTTTATTTCGAAGCAACATTTTATTTAAACGTAAATAAGGAATTTGTGTACGCACTTAAACTAAACAAATTGTTTTATCTACTAAAAAGTGAAAAGACAATACAAATAAAGAAATATATATACACACACACACACAACCACACAGTGTAAGCACTTAAAAGCTATATACTGTGTTAAGTAATTCTTGAATCGTAACTAATTATCATTTACTTAACACTTTCGGTTTTTATAAACTTTTCACTTAACTTGCTCCATTCATGGTATTGCCTTATCTTTCCGGATCATAATTTATAAACCGTTATCAAGCGATCGCTGGCATTCGACAAATTGGCATGGTCGTTTATACTGTTAAGTTAGTTGTGATATTATAGGCATTAATCAATTCATTACTAATATTATAAAAGTGAAATTAAATGTATGTTACCACTTGGCGACTCTCATGAATTTTAGTAGACAGGATAAAGTTGAGATACCCACAACATATAGCTACATTTTCAAACGATTCATAAAGATGAAGGTACTCAATACGGTTGTATTTTTTATGTTTATTAGCTCATATCTCCGTCAGTTATAAACTGATCTGGAAAATTATTTTTTATTTGAAAAGATATACTTACAGATTAGTCTAATAAAAACTTAATCATAATCGGTTTAGTAGTTTTGTTTTTAAATGTATATAAGTTGAAGTCGGGTTTTTTGTGCCATTATGGGCTAATTGAGTTGACTTCATTCTTACATATCATCACTCACTGATAACGTATACAGATAATGTCAGCGATTACCATTCCCTTTTCAATTTATTAAATACATTTTTAACACTTCAAAGCATAAAAAACAAGCCAAGATAAAATACACAAATAAGTTCTAAAATACCAACATTATTAAAGAAGACCAAAATACTGTTACTATTATACAATTATTAATTAGTTTGTCATTAATTCAAACTTAACAATTATGACGACAATATTATGTACATAATTTCTTCGCGAAAATTGCCAAATTATATTGACATTTTATTGTGTATGGGTATCATACAATATCAATGTGTAGGCGCTGAAATCACGCTCATTGAATATCAATATCTGTCAAGGTGTTGTGTACTAGATACACACGTGAACTTATCGTATGGTCCAAATTATAAGTGACTTAGTAACTTAGGATTTTATTCTAGAAAGAAACCTTTATGAAGGTTTCTTTATTATGATTATGGTAAAATTAGTATGGATCCAATATTTATACATTTAAACTTCAATAAAGTGTACTTAACACTTAACGGCGATATCTACCAGTCAACGATGAGAAAAACAGAAAATTATGTGCGTTTTTCAAGGCACTTTCTTCCACGAACAACAACTCTTTGGAATCAACTTCCAGCAACAGTATTTCCGAACTGATACGACAATATAACCTTCAAGAAAAAGACATAATCCTTTTTAAAAGGTCGGCAGCACACCTGCCGTTAGTGTTGTGGGTGATCATGGGCCGCGGTAGTCACTTACCATCAGGTGAGCCGCATGCTCGTTTGCCCCTGTGTTGTAAAAAAAAATTAAGTAGACGGTGCATTTACTACTAAAATAAGTACTATTGTTACTAATATGTATAAAAATAATTCTAATGATAATAAATCCAAACAGCAGATAAAAGGATAATGTAATAAGGCAGAAAAATACCTAGGGCTGACGCAAAAAGTACGAATAAACAGCAAAAGAAAAAAGAGAGAGAAAAAAGAAAGATTTAAAAATGTGTAACATTTTTACACAGTTTTACAAAATGAAAGTAACATAAAAATAAACTATTTAAAATAAAAGTGTATCAGCAACGTTTGTGCAGAAGTGCGAAAACAAAGAGATAC